AGTGAGATAACCAGCTTTTCTGTGAATTATGATCCTAATTGATGATTTTTACTCGGAACTTTTTGTTGGGCATCTTGTCGGGATGTTGATCCCATATTTTCTTTCTCAGTCACACATTGATTGCTTTACTGTCTCTTGGACCATGGACTTATGGTTAACTGATGTGTCTGCAGTTCTTCAATCAGATATTGACAATTGTGCTTGAGGTGCTAGATGATCACGATCCCGCCATTCGAGAACTTGCTCTGTCATTAATTATGGAAATGCTTAAAAACCAGGTCTGTTCTGGTTCCGTCTTGTTCTTTTGAAAGTGTGATTTGCCTGTTTATTATTGTATTTGACTCATACCTAGTCATTTCTTCTTTGATTTTCTTGCTAATTACCCCCCCGTATCATGCTTCTAGAAGGATATGATGGAAGATTCAGTTGAGATTGTAATAGAGAAGCTGCTTCATGTGACAAAAGATATTGTCCCCAAAGTAGGTTTGGTTTGCTTTGTTGTCTTCCCTTAGTTTTCAGTCTCAAGAGTATTTATATTTTTACTTTTCCTGTTCTTAGGTTTCAAATGATGGAGAGCACTGCTTGACAGTTGTTCTGTCTCAATATGACCCATTCAGATGTTTGAGTGTATGTGGGATTCTCTCTCTCACTCTCTCTCTCTCTCTCTCTCTCTCTCTCTCTCACACACACACACACACACACACTGTGGGTGCATACCCACACTCATAGGCACTCACAGAAAAGCACTTGCATGTAGCTGGTGTGCATGTGCGCACATAAGCACTCGGAGTCTAATGAGGTTTATGGCGCTTTACCCTTGTGTTTATTGACACTGAGGATGAATGGTATAGTCTACGCTTTTGCTTCTCACTAGCAGGTGTAATAAATATGTGCAATTTTGCAGGTAATCGTTCCATTGTTGGTTGCTGAAGATGAGAAAACTCTTGTTGCTTGTATAAATTGTCTGACAAAGGTAAAGACCTCGACTCTGATCTTTATATTCTTTGAAGGAAACCTTTGCACCTTTGTGTTCAGTCAATGTTATCTAAGAAGGTTAGATTTGTTATCTTATGCAGATGCATTAATGTAAATTTTAATGAGCATTGTGTTATTTAATAAAGAAAACTTTGTGGATATTATTTTGGATGCATGAGATATATAATAAACATATTTTTACGTAGTTGCTGACTGCCTGTGCCTGATCTTTTTAAACAATATAAGAAAAGTGAGATTAAAAGTGATAAGTTGGCCTGCATGCTTCACAAGTTTCGATTTGGAATTTGCTATGCACATATACCATTATGTTGTGAGTATCTTATTCTCACGAACAGTCAATCTTTTAGAATATGGTATTTGAAGAGGATGCATGGTTCTAATGGTGGCAGATGGTTTTTGTGGTTTGGGTGGGGTAGAACTTTCCCCATCCCACGTAAAATTCTAGGAATTTGTTGATAGTTTGAATACATACATATTCTATAATTCGGCATTGTTTTCTCTGCACTATCATGGCTTTAACGAGCTGTGCTCCCTGTATTCAGCTTGTGGGCCGTCTTTCCCAAGAGGAATTGATGGCACAATTGCCTTCATTTTTGCCTGCTGTTTTTGAAGCATTTGGAAACCAGAGTGCAGATGTTCGGAAGGTATTGCTTGTTCTTTCTATTATTTATACTAGTTTGGGCAGTAGAAATAAGTAACTGATCAACTAAGGGAAAAGAAAAAAGAAAGACCTAATTCTCGTGTGAGCGATTACCTTGAGAGTTCCTCTTCTATCTTCTGAGGAGACCCAACAGAGTTTTGCTAACTTAAACCATCAGAAGGCTCTTTTCTGCAGAAATTAGTCTGTTAATTCTGTGTACTTCAGTTTTGAAGACTTGGAGGATGTATTGCTATCATATCATAGGACATTCCCTTTTAAGCATGCTCCTACTCCATAATGGCACCACCTGCAATACAGCTTTCTGGCACATCATATTTGTCCCTGCAGATTTGGTGAACCCTTGTGCTGCATTTTATGGCCATGTTGTTTTAGTATATGAATTCCACGTGACCCTCTTGTCTGACTACCTGAGTTTTACATTCTCTTCGTCTTGAGGGACCGGAGCTAATGATGGCATGGACTCGTTTTGTCTCTCTTTTAGGGGAGATGCCATGTTGCATTAAGTTCAATAAGAATCCTATGAGCCTTGCCTCTTTGAAGCTTGGGATTTGTGTTCCCATAGTACGTCCTTGTCGGTCAACAACTATATGGATGATAAGTACATTCATGACGGTGATAAATAGTGTCCCTTGTTTGTAATTTTCCTGCCATGTGAAAGGAAGTTGATATGGTAGGAATCTGCTGGGCTTGGGTACCTAACAATAATTTGAGAAAATAAGAGCTCCTGGACTGCTCCCGGTGGTTCTATAGAAAAAGATCATTGGAGAAGATTAAGTGGTCTTTTTAACCTTCATGCGTGATAGCTCTCATTTGGAAGTAACTATTTCCGCTCCAAGAAGGTCGAGATGCTCTGCAGTTGTCTCTTTATGAGGAAGTGAGAGTAAGATGACAAGACGCTCTCCAGTTTTCTCTTTACCATGAAGTGAGAATTAGATAGATGACTTTGTATACAACTGCTCATTGATTGGTCAAAGTTGGTATAGAATTGTGGAAGCTGAATTGCAAAAATTACCTTATACGTATACCTGAAATTATTAGAAATTATACTGTTGCCGTCTTCCATGGAGCTCTTGCTTGCCAGTTTGTAGATATGCCGGGAAGAATGAGTGCTGCAGTTTGTTTATATTCGATCAGAGACCTTAGGTCCTTTCAGTATTGGCTGCTTTGGGTTCCTCCATAGAATTTCCTCAAAATAATCTAAGTATCAGTACAATCACAATGAAATTTCACTTCTCATTTCATTTTGGCGACTTGATAAAATCTTCTTCCTTAACCCTTTTTTTTTTTTTTTGTGGAACAGACGGTTGTTTTCTGTCTGGTGGATATCTATATCATGCTTGGCAAAGCATTCCTTCCCTACTTGGAAGGACTCAACAGCACGCAGTTGCGCTTGGTGACTATCTATGCTAATCGCATCTCTCAGGCCCGAACAGGCACTGCAATAGACAGTAACCAATGACTGGATCTGGTGATTGTGAGAACAAGTTGGGGCTATGGCGTCTTCGGCGTGAACGGTTAATCTGTTGTCTCTTTTTTGTATATCATGTGAATGCATTCATTGTGAAAAAGCAGAGTATTTTCTTTCCCCTTCCTTCCATTTCAGTCTTTGTAATATGTATATCATACGCTTGGCTTAATCCATCAGTATCCCGCCTCTTGCAGGAAGTTGTGTAATTAAAACTCTGAGGATGATACCCTATTATGTGCAACGGCAAAATAGTTTTGGCTCGTGTCTGTGTATGATCGATCCAATCTTCGATGTCACTCTATCAGTATTCATGATACCTATTGCGTCATTTGGCAGTTTAATACGATAGTTGACTGTTCTATTTTGGTGTTTGATATTATCGCCGCGCTTCCTTTTAGACAGCTGACTGACCTCTGAAAGAATGCATGAAAAGAATGATCGATCGATTCAATCTCCTTTTTGGTGCTCTTGCACTTCAGCTTCGGAAGTCGATGCATGGCGCAATTGGACTCTAGTTTTATCAAAAGAGTGCCTAGGACAGTTGTGGTAAAAACATGTTCAGTTTATAAAAATTGATTATATTGTGGTGCATAATGCTAGGAATGGTAATGTGGGGTAAAAGAGTCTCATTTCCAGGTAAAATACTTGAAGGTGCTGCTATTAACCAAACTCAAAATCACTTTCAATCGCAATATTTTGACCCGTGAAATTCCAGCAACATCTTTTGGTACAAAAATGAGTGCCCACCGCATGTTTTTAGATAACTTAACAAAACTGTAATTGAAGGCTTTGTTTGTTTCGCGGATGAATGATTTGAAAAATGATAGCTTGTATTGCTTAAAATAACTACTCAATGAGAAAAAATTTCATTGTTGATAGCCATTTATGTTTAAACTTTTTTTTGTGAACGACGAATTAAGTTTTCGTTTATTTATTTTTGTAAGTAATACAAGCGATCATTTTCAAGAAAATATTTCTCAAATCATTCATTTTTTGCGAAACAAACGCATTCCAAAATAACCAACATGATAATCATGTTATTGCATGACTCTCCCTTGGATTCTCAATTAGATTAATTCTTCTCCTGCCTAATATCAATTTAGATTTTCCTTGTCTAAGCTAATCGAAATCACGCTTACTCTTCCTTTATTAATCCTTTTCCTATTTTAACAGATATAAATGTGTGCCTTTTTAGTCTACGTGGTTTGTCCAAAAAAAAAAAAAAGGTTTACGTGGTCTCGATTGTGAAAGTAAGTAAGATGTGGTTCCTACAAGACGATGTGGTAAAAGAAAACAACTTATAACGAGGTCTGATTCGCGATGCATAAAGAGTATTCTTCTTCTCTATTAAAAAGATATTGGCTATATTCTTATTTTCCAATTCTTAAAACAAATATTATTTTAGAAAGAGGTCTCGGTTCAGTATTTTCTTTCTTGTCAAAAGTCTCGATTTAGTGCTAAGAAGATCGGTATAGGGATTGTCGACGAAAAACGATACCCGCCTCAAATTCTCCGATTATTCTTATCACTCGATCTTGTCTATTTGTATCTGGCGATTTTCTTCTCTATTAAAAGATATTGGCTATATTCTTATTTTGCAATTCTTAAAACAAATATTATTTTAGAAAGAGGTCTCGGTTCAGTATTTTCTTTCTTGTCAAAAGTCTCGATTTAGTGCTAAGAAGATCGGTATAGGGATTGTCGACGGAAATACGATACCCGCTTCAAATTCTCCGATTATTCTTATCAATCGATCTTGTCTATTTGTATCTGGTGATTTTTACTCTTGACTCGTGTACTTTATGCAAATTTTGCAACACTCGTGCGATGAACTTTTAAAATGGCGTTTCGTTCTCAAATTCGAAAGGAAAGTTACAAGTGAAATTGGAAGTGTAGTTGAAATTGGGTCCAAAGGCCCAATCCTAAGACAACAAAATCCCATTTTCATCTCTCTCTTTCTCTCTCCGTCGCTCCTCTCTCTCTCTCTCTCTCTCTCTCTCTACGATCTCCCCGCGACCGCCGGCTCAGGTCTCAGTCTCAGTTCAACGCCGGCTCTTTCATCTCCAAGGTCCTCCTTTTCCTTGTCTTCTGGTGTTTTTTCTATGTCCCTTTTCGTGGCTTCATTTCCCGCGGACGTGTTGGAAAAAGCTCTGCTTTACTGGAGAATTTGGACTCATGGAACGCCAACTTATCTCCCAAGTCAGCGTGCAATGGCGTTGTGGAATCAGTTTTGAATGTGCCCGTGCGTTTTGGGATGATTTCCGCTGCCGTAAACAATGGGCAAATTCCCTTCTTCTGTTTTTCTCGCCCTCGAGGTGCTTGCGATAATGTCTGTGGTAGTAGAAGTAGCGTTTCAGCTCAATGCCGTGCTTTAGTATGCACGCGGTGTTGTCTGTCCTCGCTCTATCGCTCCCGTTTGGCTCCGTATGGCGTGTGCCCAGAAATTGTCGTTACGCCCTGACCAAAACATGCCCCTTCCGTTTGGGAAAAAAAACAAAAACAAGAATTCTGTGAACTCGTTTTATGGGTGAAATGTATATGATATTTGATATTGGAGTGGGACAAAGAGAGAGGACTACCTGTTTTAAATAGCTTTGGTTTGCTTCCTGTCTTATTTATTTTTGAGTGTTGGGCATGGGCGGTGTGGGGCTGGGTATTGTATTCTCCATCCCCATCATGTGGCGCGGAGCTTTGCCCCGCCCACCGCCCCGTGTGCCCCACGGGGCACGTCCTCGCGGGGGATGATTAGCTGTTGTCTCTTTTTCTTCCTTGAAAATTCCATGTTTTGCGTTGTCTCGTAGTTTACCTTATCTACTTGTGGCAATATGAAAAAGAAATTGGTGGTGGATCAAAAGTTCCTTTTCCATGTCAGCAGCATGTGAATCTCTACTGGTACTTATTACTGCTGCTATTGATCACTGTCCAGGATAATGTCGGCTCAAAGACTAGCCAATTATTTCAGAGATGGAATCACTTCAAGCTCTTTATCTAATGAAGTAATTGCAGGGAAGATTGCCAAGGTACTTGCTGAGAAAGGGGTTAAAACTCTGGAAGGGCAATCCGAGTTGCTCTTAAATCTCAGCCCCCACGTAGCCCATATTATTCTCTCAAACCCAAGATTGCCACCTCATTCTTGCTTGAGCTTTTTCAGATTCTTGAAAGGGAGCCCGTCTCTTTTTTCTCATAGACCTGACCTTCGAGCTCATATTATATTAGCTCGAAGATTATACGAAGCTCGAAAGTTTGCTGAAATGAAGAATGTGTTGCACTCTGCCGTGAGGGATGGTAGTGGTTTTGTCTCAATATTGGATATTGTTAACATGCATCAAGATCAACTTGATGAGCCTAGATTTGTTGTGAAGTTTTGCGACATGTTGTTGAGGGTTTATGCTGATAATAAGATGTTTGGGGAGGCTGTGGAAGTCTTTCACTACATGCAAAGCAGAGGTTTGGAGATTGATGAGAGGTCTTGCATGGTCTTTCTGTTAGCTTTGAAGAGATTTAGTACTCTAGAGAATTGCTTAGGGTTCTTCAGGCGGATGATTAAGTCAGATCTGGTAACAGTTTATTCGCTGACTGTCATGGTCGATCTGTTGTGCAAGAAAGATATGGTTGACGATTCGAGGAAACTCGTAGACGAGTTGGTTTCTAAGGGGATAAAGCCGAATGTTTTCACTTACAATACATGGATGAATTCATACGTAAAAAGAAAGGACGATGAGGCTATTGATGAAATATTGAGACTGATGGAGGAAGAGCGGGTGGAATACAATGTGGTTACCTACACGCTTTTGATTGACTGGTATGCAAGCTCCGAGAAAATTACGGATGCTGAGACAATGTTTGAAGAAATGCATAAGAAAGGCATCCAAGGGGATCTTTTTGTTTACAATTCAATAATCAATCTGAATTGTAAGGTGGGAAATATGAAAAGGGCATTTGCACTTTTTGATGAAATGACTGAGAAGGGCCTTCTTCCGAGCGTTCAAACTTATGGGGCTTTGATCAATGGTGTCTGCAAGGTTGGCCAGATGGAGGCAGCTGATATGTTGGTCACTGAGATGCAGAGAAGTGGAATTGAATTGAATCTGGTGATATATAACACACTAATAGATGGGTATTGCAGAAATGAAATGATTGATGAAGCTCATGAGGTCCTGGTGATCATGAAGAGTAAAGGGATTGAGGCTGATGAATTTACTTACAACACAATTGCTAGCGGACTGTGTAAGTTGAATAGGCTCGAGGAAGCAAAACGGGTCTTGTTTGCAATGGAAGAGTACGGTTTGATGCCTAACTTGGTTAATTTCACTACTTTAATTGACATATACTGTAAGGAAGGAAACTTAGTGGAAGCTAGAAGAATCTTTCAAGAGATGAAGGAGAAGGGACATACACCAAATATTGTTGCTTACAATGCTTTAATCGATGGACATATCAAGAAAGGAAAACTTGCTGAACCTAAAATGCTGAGAGATGAGTTGATGAATCAGGGTATGAAGCCAGACAAGTATACCTATACATCCCTTATACATGGGGAATGTATCTATGGGAAGCTAGAAGAGGCACTCAGATTGTTCCGTGAAATGTCTGAAAGGCGCTTGCCTAAAAGTCTTGTCACTTACACAGCAATAATCTCAGGCCTAGCCAAGGCCGGGAGATCAGATGAAGCTTTTGCGTTGTATGACGAGATGATTGAAGCTGGACTTAAACCTGACGACTCATTGTACTCTTTGCTAGTGGGGAGTCTTCATTAAGCTAGGTTGTAGCTGTACTATTTGGCCTAAATACGTAAGTGTCAATCAATCTCATATTTTATTGCTTCTTCAAACATTGATAGTCTCCTCTATCTCTTGAACCATCGACTTATGTAGTTCACTGATGTATATGTAGTACGTCAATTAAATTTTGACGATCGTGCTCAAGGTGCTAGATGATCCCCTATATCTCCACTCAGGAACTTGCTCTGTCATTACTTATCCAAATGCTCTTCAAATCAGGTCTGATTAGTTTCCCTTCGTTCTTCTTGAAAGTCTTAATTGCCTGATTATTATTGTACGTGATTGGGCCTAGTGATTTCTTCTTTGATATCCCTGTTAATTTTTTCCCCTGTATCATGCTTCTAGGAAGACATGATGGAAGAGTCAATAGACATTGTAATTGAGAAACTGCTTCTTGTAATAACAGATATTGTTCCATAGGCAGGGCTTTCTTCATTTACTTGTGCTCTACTTTCCAGTCTTCTTGGAGTAATTAAATTGTTTACTTTTCTGTTCCTAGGTGGGTTTCAACTGATAGAGAGCACTGCTCGACACTGTTCTGTCTTAGTGATCCGTTCACATGTATAAGTGTACATGAAGTATGAATGAGATTTTCTATTTCTTACCATCTAGTGTGTGATATGTAATGTGCACTCTTGCAGGCTATCGTCCATTGTTGGTAGCTGAAGATGAGAAAACTCTTGCTATAAAATGTCTGACGAAGGTACAAATCTTGACTGTTATCTTCTTTATTCTTTGGAATCTTTGCACCTTTTTTTATTCCTATTCCAAGAACTTTATTATTGGAGGTTATCTAGGTTTGGCCAAAGAATTTTAGTATCTAGGATCACATGCAGATGCACACATCTGAAAATCACGTCCAAGAAAAGAGACGAAAGAGTGTTGATTTTCATTGACATTGTGCTTTCAAATGGAGACAGCTTGGTAACTTATTGTGTACTGTTGGATGGATGAGCCTTTAACTTTTCATACAAGTATCTCTGCATGTTGAGCCTTTTTTATTTTTTGGTTGCTCACCACCTGTGCCTCAACCTTATGAACGATATGAAGTAAGTAGAATGGCGAAACACGGCCTGCACATTATAAGTTTCTAAATTGAATTTGCTATGTTCATATACTATGCCATTAATGAGTATCACCTCCTCACTGATATTTACTTTTGAGAACAGGTCTTTGAATAGGATGCCCTGGTTCTAATGGTGACAGACCCAGGATTTATGAGGCAGCGAACTCAAATTGTACTAATTGCGTATAATTAGAAAGAAGAAAATTTCAACTTTTGAATATAAGTTCTATAAACTAGTGATTGCATTTTGTTAATTTCTCTAATTCTACATGGTTTTCTATGCACTATCATGGGTTTAACGAGATGTGTTCCCTCGCTTCAGCTCTGCGGGTGTCTCTGCCAAGAGGAATTGATGTTTCAATTACCTTCTTTCTTGCCTGCCCTTTGTAAAGCATTTGGAACCAGAATGTAGATGTTGACAAGGTATTTTTTTATTGCTTTTGTAACATTTATCCAGCATCTTAAACCAGTCGAAGAGACCCAACGGAGTTGGGCTTTCTTAAACCAGTCGAAGGGTACTTTCTCCAGAATTGCTTTTGTCAATCCTGTGCATTGCTTTTCGAAGGCTCGAAGGATGCATTGCTCTAGTTAGATGGCTTAGTTTACAAGTGCTGAAGAGCTATTGAAAGGTCAATACCAGTATACAAGTAGAAGCTGAATTAAAAATCACCCTAAACAACCTGGAATAATCAGGGGATAGAGTCTTTCACGGAACCCTTTCTAGGAAAGAACGAGTGCTGCAGTTTGCTTATATTTGTCAGAGACCTTGCCTCTTTCTTTCTGGCTGTTTTTTGGTGTCTCCATGGGTTTTCCATCAAAACGATTAGAGCATCAGCACCAGTAACAAAGAAATTCACTTCCGGTTAGCTTTTGATTGAATCGTCTCCTCTAATCAACTTCTTTTCTGCAGAACGGATAGTTTGTTTACCATCTGGTGGGTATCTATATCATGCTTGGCAAAGCATTCCCGCCATAGTCGGAAGGGCTCAACTCCATGCAGTCGCAGTGGGTGACCACCTACGCCAACCGCATCTCTCGGGCCCGGACACGGACCGCCACTGCAATGGACAGTAACCATCGGCCGGACAAACTGTGGCGGCTACACGGGCATCCTCAGTGGGTATGTGATTTAATTGGCTGTGCATTGTTAACTGCTTGCCTCGCATGGGAAGGAGGACTGAGTTTCAGCGGTCAAAACTCTGAGAAGGTCCCATTAAACGTCGACCGGTTCAACCCGGTTCGGACCGTTCACAACATCGGTTCAATCTCCGGTTACGATCTTTGGGTGGGGTGGTTGATAGGGTGACGCACTGTTGGTGAGGATAATGTCGGTGAACTGGCCAACATGGCATGCCAGATAATTGCCGCGTCCCGCTAGGTGTTCGAAGCCCAATCAGGAAGGAGTTTTGAGGAGATGATGGGCCACCCAATTTCATTTCATTGCATTTATTTTTATTTTGGGTTATTATCACGAAGAACTTCAAACTGTTATATCTATGACAGTTTTAATCTGAATTAATTTTTTGATCACTAAAAATCCCAAACAAATTTACCCTGAATTAATTTTTTGACCATAAAAAACCTCAAACTGATATACTTGTGATAAATTTATCCCTTGTAAAGTTGGATTAATATCGTGAAAAATTACAAATTGGTAAATCTATGACAAATAGAGAGTAAAACCTCAAATTGGTATATTCGTAAACTGTTACATGTTATTTAACTCAGTAATCTGATGTCGGATTGTGGCATGAATAAATTTTTTGCCAATGCATACTCTCTCATGAACTCGCGCATTGGAAAACTCTGATCCGCATCACGTGACGACGTCATCTGATCATGGCACTAGTCGAATCTGGCAAATTTGGTGCAGGAACTCGATTAGAAAAGGCGTGAAAATGAAATCCTTCCTAATTAGAATCAACAAATGCAAAACATCCGCCCGTCTGCGCATAATCTTAACCAATTCCACGTAACTGACTCCGTAACGGTCGAAAACACAATTTGCCATACGAGGTACGGATCCAGACCAACGTCGGCAAGTGTCACCCCCGCTTTACGTAATCGCGGTACGGGCCCTCGTGTGCTGTCTCCCTTAATTGCCAAATTTAAAAATAAAATAAAAAAAATCTAGGACTACTAAATTAATGCCCGTGAAGGAAATTGAAGAATCTTAAAGTAGCCGAATGAGCGTGCGTTTTAGGGAGACAGTTTACCGTTAATTGTCATTATCTTTCCTTAAAGCGGAGGGCCCCGCCCCCAGAAATTATTATTTTAATTCGAATTTTATTAATATTATCCTAAAAAGGCTGCTTATACTGCCGACAGCTAATGGAGACCATTTATGTTATTTTATTTTATTTTATTAAGGCCCTTTTTTTCCCGGTTTGGACAAACCTCGGCCTTTACCAATTCCGGCAAACGGATCACGAGCAAGCGAAAGGTGGCGATTTTCCTTTTTTTTTTTTTTTTTTTTTTCGTGACGTCCGAAAGATCGGGTTAATTCTTTTATCAGATGCGAAATGTGATGTTTTTTGCCGCGACGTTTTCGGATGTCGTGCTGTTTTCGTCGCCGGCGCGGAAGGTCGAGTTTCCTTTTCAGGATTTGGCCCGTTAATCTTGTCGAGTTGCGGGTTCATGCGGTATGTGTTACACGGGTGATACGTGTTCGGTTCCGCACAATGCTAAACTCGACAAAGTCGGAAAGCTATGGCGGCTCGCTCTCAAAGTTTCATTTCGCATCCTTACCATGTCCACGAGGTTCGAAATGTGTATAATTAAAACGAGTAGAGAAAACTCGTTTTACTTATCATGTTGCGGGACAAGTTTTAATAATCGTGATAATATAGTTACTCGAAGGCAAATTTTTAATGTTCTTCCGAGTAAGGATTATGAATGCCATAATTCTTTATTATGTCAATAGCAAGGGTCGAAATTCTAGAATGTTCATAATGAAGGGAATTCTTGAGCTGACCCTTTTCAAGCGTGAAATCATAAGTCAACTAGAAATTCACTTTTGCTATTAGCTTCAAATGTGATTAGTAACTTTTCATACATGATAAATACGTCTCAATATATCAAACAAGAAAAAATGGAAGGTAATAATGTGAGTAAAAACCGATCAATTGTCTTTTCGGTTGGTAAGGGCCGTGCACAAAAGTCCATGGACGATGGAGGAGTACAACAGTGTGTGTTTCTGGATTATCTCGGACTCTTTTCAACTCTTCGAGAAAAAGCCGTTTCCAACATGCCAAACAATGAAATTTTTTTTTTTGTTCCCAAAATCATTTTGAGAATAGAAATCCGTTTGTTAAATTTTTTGTTCTTGGACACAAATTTGCAAAAAATCGTTTCCAGAATCAGTTTTGGAACAAAATCAAGAAGCAAAAAAAAGTAGCTTCTTGATTCTGGAAATAATTTTTTCATTTCTGATTCTTCTTCAATTTTTTCTTCCTTCTTGGTTTGTTCTTCTTCTTCCTAGCCTGTCGCCGACCACAGGCCAGGGCCGGCGAGGGCTGCTCGCGGCCACGACGGTGAGGCCTCGCCTAGCCATGGCGAGGCCGACCTTGCCGTCATAACCCAGACAAGGGAGATGGGTTGCAACAGCAAGGTCGGCCTCGCGATCGGTGAGTAGGGCCGCGAAGTCCTCACCGGCCTTGGCCTATGGCCGGTCGCCGGCGTCGGCGACCGGCCATGGCCAAGGAAGGGAAGGGAAATAAAGAAAAAAAAAGGGGAAAAAAAGAAAGAAATATTAAAAATATTAAAATATTATTAATAAAAAAAAAATTTATGTAGTTACCAAACGCATTTCTATTCTTTTTCTATTCCAAGAATATAAATTTTGAGCAGTTACCAAACGCTTTTAAATGTTTAGAAATTATTTCCGGACATAAAATCAAAAAGAATAATTTTTTAGCAGAATCAGTTTCCGGGCACAGAATCGTTACCATGCGCACCCTAAATCTCAACGTGCATGGTAGCTTCCCCAAAATATGGACAGAACCAGTTGCCTTTTCCTCGGGCATGATTTGCTCCAGTGGTGCAAATGCTTCTTTTTATCCTTTTGGGATCGTTCATTACTTCCTAAGAGTGGAGCTTATGGAAGAGAACACCGATTCGCGAGGGAGAGTCACTAGATGCTACCGTGAGTATCTTAGTGGGAAGCGAGTCTTTCATTTAGCGGATGGCGCGAAATAGTAATGGCTAAAACCAAACATATAATAGGGTTATTACGACCCTTTGCTTATCGCAAAAATAAAGGAAAAGAAACGCAAGATTTGATTATAGCTGTTCTGCATCATCCAAATGTACACGCGGTCGAAAGTTTCTTGTTTATTTATTTTTTTTTTGGTCGGAGTACATACGGTTGAAAGTTGACAAAAGCCCATAACGACAGTCCCACCGGCGTGTTAATAGTGACCACGACTCTCTCTCTCTTCACACTAGACGACCTCCTCCTAGCAGAGCGGGAGCACCGCTTGGTCCGAGATTCGCGCACGACGTGTCCCGCGACTCACGATCCGACGAAAGGTAAGGAACGCGCGCGCGCGCGCGCGGGGGGATGTCCAGGCGGGACCAAAGTCCGGGGTTCTCCGGTTCTTGCTACCGGAACAGTAAGGGAAGCAGCGTTTTTGCCCCGCGTCCATGTTAGCCGAGTTTTACTGCAAAGTAAAGTAAAAAAAAAAAAGGGGGGGACCCAAAAGAGGAAAAAAAAACACGACACTGCCGCCGCTCGAGTCGCTTCAAGTGCAGCAGGCACAGTTGATGCATCATCATGCTCATGTGCAAAACGATCTCTCTCTCTCTCTCTCTCTCTCTCTCTCCCCCCTGAATCCAAAGGGCCAATGAACAAATGAAATGAAATGAAAAAGGGGAAAAGGGAGAGGGACTCGAGGAAAGGAGCAGAGGAGCAGTGAGCGAGTGCATCGAGTCAGTAGTCAGTCAGGTACAAACCGTCAAACATCTCTTTCGTCCTCTTCCCTTCCCTTCTCTCCCCCCCACCCCCATTATTATTCCTCGAAAGAGAGGCAGACAGACGGGCAGACCTTATCCGACCTTCTTCCGCAAGCTCTGCTCTGCTCCGCATTTATCATAACCCCAAAACCAAGCGCCAGCCAACAGTAACAGAACAGAATCTTCTTCTCCCTCTCCCGCTCCCTCTCCCTCTCCGCGCGAGGATCTGGATTTTACGACGCGGCTTCGCCTTCAGTGCTCCGACGATGGAGTCCCAGTAGTAGCTGATTCCCGAAAGTGGCTGGGGCTCCCCCAAGGATGAATCGCTGCGTTCCCGATTTCGAAATGGACGACGGCTGCTCCCTCCCTTCCCTCGCCCGCCCCCGCAAGTCCGACCTGTGCGTCTCCTCCCCTCTCCCCTCTGCCTCTGTGTCTCTTCCTTCCTTCCCTTCCTTCCCTTCCTTCCCTTCCTTTCTATTTATTATTATCATCATTATCATTATCGGATCGTTGTTCGGAATCCCGGAGCGGGAAATGCCGATCGCTGATTTTCGGTTCGGGCGCTTGGGTTTAGGGCTGGCGACGAGATCGTGGAGCTGCTGTGGCAGAACGGCCCCGTGTTCATCCCGAGCCAGCGATCGGCGAAGAAATCCGAACCCTCCGAGTTCGGCGGTTACCAGCTGGTCGCCGCCGCCGCCGCCGACCAAGCCACGCCCTGCGCGATCCCCAACCAGTCTCATCACCATCACCACCACCACCACCATCAGCAGCAGCAGCAGCAGCAGCAGGAGAGCCTCTTCATGCAGGAAGACGAGATGGCATCCTGGCTCCACTATCCTCTCCACGACACCTCCTTCGTCGCCGATTTCTGCTCCGATCTTCTCTACCCTCCTCCTTCCGTCAACAACATCGCCGCCGCCGCCGCCGCCGCCGCCGCTCGCGCTGCTCCCGCTGTCGCGGAGCTCCGGCAGCAACCGCCTCCGAAGCCGCCGATGGCGATGGCTCCTCCGAGGAGATTCGAGAACTTCGGCCACTTCGCGAGGCTGAATCGGCCTAGGGTCGACGAGTCCGGACCGTCCGATTCGTCTCGAGCGGCTAACGGGTCGACCGTGGTGGATTCCAGCGGGACGCCCGCGGTGGGGCCCGGCTCTAGGGTTTCCGAGGCATTGCATTACGACGCCTCGCGCGGGACCGCTGACGGTGGAGCGGCGGCCTTGGCCGCGTCGTCGGCCGATGGCGGCGGTCGCGAGATGGTGACGTGCGAGTTGACAGTGACTTCGTCGCCGGGTGCCTCCAGCGCCTGCGCCGAGCCTCCGCCGCCTCAGAAGTCGTCGACGCCGCTGCCGCCGCCGGAGGACAGGAAGCGGAAGGGGATCGAGATCGAGATCGACGCCGACGCCGACGCCGACGCCGACGCCGACGAGTGCAACAGCGAGGTGAGTCGGTACCGAGTTATCCAGCTTCCTGTGTTGTTTTGCACACCGAGATGAGGAGATGATGTGTTGGTTGGCGTGTGAATGTCAGTCGTATCTTCTACACGTGGCCGTCTGTTAACGTGGATTGCGCCACCTCTGCGTTTCGGAGGCCGTATAGAGTTCGGTGATTGGTTAGTGATGTAGGCTACGGTGGATGTTAGCGCATTGGATCCGAACTTATATGAATTCTGAATAACGCCGGAGAGCGAGAGAGAGAGAGAGAGAGAGAGAGAGAGAGAGTACCGATGACGGCGCGTATCGCGGGACTAGTTTCCTCGTCCCATTTCGCTGCTTGTCAGGAAGTCCTATAAGACTTGTGAGGGTAAGAAGTGAACTGCAGCAAATGTCTCTTTTTTTACCATGGACGATTGCAGCTATGTGGTGGCTTTTCTTTTGGGCACTAAAGACACTCTGGTTTCTCGATTGAATTAATTGGATAATTTGTCTTTCTTCTGTAAGGATGTTGAGCTTGAATATGCCGATGCAAAGAAACAAGCACGTAGTTCCACATCTACTAAGAGGTCTCGAGCTGCAGAGGTCCACAACCTGTCAGAGAGGGTCCGTATGAAAGGATTTCAGTAAACAAAATTTGCATCCTGTGAAGTCGATTTGTTAAAATATAGTGTCGGTTTCTGTGCAGAGACGGCGGGATAGGATAAATGAAAAAATGAGGGCGTTACAAGAATTAATTCCGCATTGTAACAAGGTATTCCTTGTTCGAGCTTACTGTTTCCCCTTCTTCGCTACTCGATGAACGTAGCATCATCTGTGTTTCCTGCATTTTCAGGCTGATAAGGCTTCGATGCTGGACGAGGCAATTGAGTACTTGAAGTCGCTTCAAATGCAAGTGCAGGTAGAGTTTTCTGTGGTCGCATGTATAGGGTTGATTCAGATTCTGTGGCACTTCTTCAATTGTAGTCGGAAAAGTAACTACCATTTGCTGTTTTTCAATTCTCTCTGAGTGAGAAGGATTCTTCGCTTTTCTTTTCATTGTTATCATGACCTATGCACTTTGTTTATTTCTTATTTGTGAGGATTAGTCTGCGCTGCTGATTTTAACAGAACTTGCTGAATCTTATTTTGCTGGTCGTGCTCATATGGCTTTGCTTGTACCTGAAAAACATTTGGTTATTTTAAAAGCATTTCTCTGTTGCGTAAGAGTGGTGTATCCGAATTCCCAATAGCATGATTTTATTACTCATTAAAGTGTTTATTCTGAGTTTTGTCCCTGAAATTCTCTTCTTCTGCCACGTTGTGTGGTGTAATCAGTTCACGTACTTACCTTAATCAGCATTCTTAGTAATGTGGCATATACTTCATTGCATGTTATGACTTTTCTGCTGCTAGACATAGTTCAACGGTGAATATTAGTAAGGACATTGGGAAGTATTAACATCTTCTCATAGCTTAGCTAAATGATGAGCAGTTCAATTGTTAGGTTTGGCTTGGAGCTTCTCATCTGGCGAGGTGGTAGTAGCAAAAGACGATTTCAAGTTTTTGTTTCTCTTTTAAATGATTCATTCCAGTGGAGCTTTTGGGTTTTTTCCTAGTCATGTTAGTTCTCCAAGCTAAAGCAATGGATTTCTGTTTTCCTCCTTAGTGTACCTTGTGGCTTGATATATATGTCCAAAAGTATGCCAAAGAAAATGTGATGTTGATGAAGCATTCTAATATGTTTTTACCTTGGTGTACCTTGTGGCTAGATATATATGTCCAGAAGTATGCCAAAGAAAATGCGATGTTGATGAAGCATACTAATATGTATCCTCTGTGATGTTTCAATTTTGTGCCCTTGATTGAAATATTAGCCTCGGTGAGAAGTTCTGGCGAGAGAGGCATCATGCAGTTGTATGCTGATTACTGGTTGACACCTGATGTATATAGTTTGCATGCTCTTGAATCATTTGGTACCTTGAGGTTTTGTGGAAATCAAACCATTGAAATGCCTTAGGTTAAAATAGTACTTTTGTTTCCTGTTGCGTCTTATATTGAGCAAAACTCACCAGATTTCTGTTGCCTTCAGATGATGTCCATGGGATGCAGCGTTGTACCGATGATGTTTCCAGGTGTTCATCAGTATATGCCCCACATGGGGATGGGTATTGGCATGGCGATGGGTATGGATATGGGAATGAATCGCCCTATGTTGCCTTTTCCAAACATGTTATCTGGTTCAGCACTGCCGACACCAGCAGCTGGAGCTCATCTGGGACCAAGATTTCCTATGCCAACCTTTCATATGCCTCATGTTCCTGCACCTGATCCATCCAGAATTTCCCCGACCGTCCAGACTGATCCTTTGTTAAGCTCTCTTGCTTTGCAAAGTCAAAATCAGGCAAGGATCCCAAACTTTATTGATCCTTACCAACAGTACTTTGGCCTCCGCCATATGCAGTTGCCACTGCAGAAGGTAAATGTGAACTATTGTCGTTTACCTCCTATATGAACGTACTTCCTTTGCATCTTTTCCATCCTGAATAGGAAATTGCAATGTGGTAATACTGAAAGTCCTGCATTTTGAATTGGCTGAACAATCACTTTCGTGCTAAAAAAAATAGAGTAAGCAAGTTCCATGCAAAAAATCAGTTGACAGTTTTTATGAGGCACGACTCCTAGGGAGTCTATCTGCTTGCATTTGATATCTCACCTATCCATCGTGTATTTTTGGAAGCTATGCTGACTCGCTGATGAAGGACTTTCTTTGCAATTTGCCAGAATCAGACTCCCTCAGGTATCGGCAAGCCAAGTACCAGCAAAGTAGGGGAGAATCTTGAAAAACCTCCATCAGGTATACTTCTTTATCTCTTCACTTATCAGATTGAAGTTATCTGATTAGCAGACGACCTTGCCTACGACAAAATGATGTGCTTGTTTTGAACCTGTAGCCGTCGTTTCTTGCACTTGTAGTTTGTTATGATGTAATAAAATGGTTGAGACTATTGTGACATGGATTGACCAATAATATGTTTTCGTTCCAAGGGCGAAGATTTTGGTCATAGGTTTTTTACACATTATACCTTTCATGATTAATCAGCCACAGCCGTTTGTAAAAAATTTCGATGCCTCTATATGTGCTCTCTTTTTTTCTCTTTCTCTGTCCTTTCTCTTTGTGTTGAACGAAAACACTGAAGTCTAAACAGTTGGATCATAGGCCTCACGCTTATAAGATGCCACTTCTCTGTTTGTTCAATTTGTCGCAGGATCTTCATTTTGATTATGGTTTTTGGGATATTGCTAGCGTCACTGGTTAATAATGTCATGTGCTGTGCAGGCTGAGCATTGGCAGAATATACGGAAGGGCTCTTGCCATCCAAGTTTTGTAGGGTATAGAAGTAGAACAGAATACCAACATCAGAGAAGCAAGCTTTTCTGCATGGGCAGGAAATTTTCCCTTGACACGGCTAACATGTAATTATTACTCAGCAGTAGAATCAGAATGATTTTTTTTGTTTTATTTTTAATTTCAACTTTCTTCCTATACTACCTTGTCATTGTAAGTTTAAAAATACTTGAAGCTTGGAAAATTTCGACCCCAGATCCTCTGCGAGATCACAGTCGCCGTATGTTATTGGCATGGCCTTGGGAGCAGGTGGGAAGGATGCCAATAAGTAAAATACGTCAATCAAAGCCGAGCTTTGCAGGCCTGGAAGAGAAAAAGGTAATGCGGGGAAGTGAAAGTTGCCCTTTCCACCAATTCCTCGGGACCTCGCAATAATTTCATCTTTTATTGGAATGATCTAAATTGGGTTTTGTTCGTTGTGGCCACAAATATAATGAGCCTCGTATTCCAAGTCTGTGCCAAGAATTAGCAGAATCATGCTCTGATCCTCTGGAGGCAGGCAAGAGATGCATCTCTTTTTAGGGTCAACATATGGCCAGCGACAGTGGCCACTTATCCAAGATAAGGCAAGAAAGCTTGAGCCACGTACAATTTAAAGTGAGTATTCTTTTCGCATATTTTCATGTCCCCGTGTATAGTCGTTTACCATATACCCCTTCTTCCTCTGCTTTAGGGGGTGTTTGGTTCAGCTTTGGGAAGGGGCTTTGAGTCTCGAAAACCCCTTCCCAAAACGCTGATGTGTTTGGTTCAAAGATTTACTTTCAGCATTCCACGAATGCTACTGTTCACATATATTTTTTTTTTTGGGTTGAATCGTTCTTCATCGGGCAAATGGGAGGGCGGCCGGCGAGGTCGCCGGGGTCGGGCGACCGCCGGCGACGCCGTCCCAGAGCAGGCCGCTGGGTCGCGCGACCCGGCGACGGACGCCGGGTCGCGCGACCTCGGGCGGCCGTCGCCCGGGTCGTGCGACCCCGCCGATGGTCGCCCTCGGGTGACCGCCGGCGGCCGTAGGCCCTCGCCGGCCGGCTCCGGCGACGGTAGGTTTTGTTTTTTTTTAATAAATAAAATAATTCTCAAAGTCCATTTGCAAAAAAAATTCACCAAACACTATATTTTGGCCAAAGTAGCTTTACAAAATATTTTTACCAAACACCATTTACATTTCCCAATGGCTTTCCTCAAAGGTATTTGCATTCTACCAAGTAGCATTTTCAAAGTTGATGACGTGGGATATTGCGGAGCATCATTGAAGCCGAAATATTTTAAGCGATGCTGATTCTTTTCTGGTATGTCAAATATAAGGAGGGAAAATTGCGCCGTGGAGCGTTTCTGTACGTGTATTTTACTTTTCCTTTTTCCTTTCCAATCCCCTGGCTGAAAATGATGCGAGTGGAGTATATATACAGTATCCAGATAAGGTGATGACGATTTGCATGTTCTCTCCTTTTCCTTTCTTTCCTTTTCGTTAGTAAAAGCTAAGATAATGAAAGTTTGGTCGGAGAGCTTTACGAGTGACCAGCAATTCAAGAATGGTGGTTCTTTGATTCATCATTCTCCAATTTGATGTATCAAACAGTCAGATTACCAACCTTTCATGGCAGATGGTCATTTTCAAGAACAGAAGTTGAGTGATAAAGTAGAGTCGGTCGAGCTCATTAGCAGTCGGTGTCACAATGATTTTCAGAAGACAAACGGTGTCTTTTGTAATAAAGCTGTCTTAAGTTTTTTAAAGTTTTCAAGTAAAGCTAAGGTACACTATTACCTATTCTGAAAACAGCAGGCTAACATCTCAAATGCTCAGCGATACCTGCAAGTATTAGGTGCATTTTTATCTCGTATATAAAATGAATTTGAATCGTCAAATCTATTGACATTCAGCGTTACCCCGTGTGTGACCCATCCTTTACAAAGACCCTATTCTTTTTAATACATGTTGCACTCCCATTTAATAATTTCTTGTCGATCATGCGTGAGCCTATGGATAAAACAAAGGTACGCATTGATTCGGTTGAATGCAGGAAGTAAAAGAAATAGCATCGGTCAAAAGGATCAGACAATTCATCCATTGTATGGATTTCACGGATAGCCTTGGACATGAGAAAGCTTTTCGCTCAAGAGGTCAATCAGGCAAGCAAAGATGTCAATTTAGCTACCTAATCAGCATAATCGAAGATTTTATAAGTTTGTCACAACTGGTAAGATCACACGAAGACAGATTCCCCTTGAAGGCGAATAAGATGTCGGTATACTGTAACTGATGGCTCATAGTGCCTCCTCATTTACCCGGGCAAGCTCCATATACCACCGAGACACTTCCATTCATAAGGCGAAGCAGCAGCGATTCCTTTCGACCATATGAAGGTGGGAACATGAAATTTTTTACATCAAGCCGCAGGTTTTACTCATCCAGCTCTGTGATTACGGACCGATTGCAGACAAGATCTAAGAACCAAACAAGAGCGAAAGAAAAAGAAACAAGGGAAAAGAAAAAAATTCAGATCATCATGCAGCTCGCCATCTTATTCAATGATGTATTAATTTGCACGCTATAATGATAGTATGCGATAGCAATTGATCGGTCGATCCTCGTACCTTGTCGGTGAATAGGCGGAATGTCTCCACTTCCATTGCCTTTTCAAGATCCTAGTAAGAGGAAAAAAACCTTTCAACACTATTGCATCTCCCTCTCAAATGGTGTCAGTGATGGCAACAAGCAAACTGCCCCAATGTTATAATCCACAGTCAGTCGGGTAAGGTAAATGATATGAGTCAGGACACTCACGCTGTCTGGATCTGCTGAACCATCGATTTTGCAAATCAGTTTCTGAAGGCTTTCATCCATGAGCGCATCGCGAATTTCAGAAGAAGAAGCTGTTTGCAACTCAATTTTCAATAGTTGCTCAACTTTCATAGTTGCATGAGTGCTCCAAATCACCCCATATTTGTATAATTCAACCCCATGACTAATATAAACTGGGCAACCTACTGAAGCAATCTACAAGTCCTTGGATAACAAACAATAACAAACACCCATATGATCATGTCCATTGCCAACTTTTCGAGATTTTGGAGCAGTTTCTTATAAGAGAATGCATATGCAATGCATAAAGATGATTTGCCGGAAGAAAAATACACCAAAATTTGCTTTCCTGGTAGACTGAAGATTGATGTCTAAGATGAGGAGAGTACTGAGATAGCAGCGAAATCATACCTAATAATTCTAGTTGCCCCTGCTGCACTACGTCACGTGGGCCATCAATGTTAAAAGGTCTGTCCACAGGCAACTCCTGACTTGCAGCTGAGATATGAGAAGTTTATGGCACTCTATGACGAATTACCAAAAGTCAACCCGATTTCTCAATCTCAACGCACCATTATGAAACAATCACTTTCAAGCACAAATACTAACACATCATAAAGCTTAATTCAATGAAACCCAGCTGAGAAAAGATAGAGTGGTTGTTGATTTTTGTTTTGTGAAGAAAAAATCAAGGGTGGATTAAAGAAACATATTCAAAGCAATTGCATTTCCCAACCTCATCCTCCCTTGTCCTCCAGGAATGCATTGGCAGGGAACAGAGGAGCATAAAATTCACATATTGGAAAAAAATAAATGAAGGGGGACGTGTGAACTCTGACACTGCAGAAGGCAGATAAAAGTGATGGCTGATGCCAGATGAGGTGAAATCAGAAATAGACTTACAGAGAACAGAAAATATCGTTCCTCATAGCTAATTACAAAAGCAAACACAGAATCATGGACAGCTTATTTACCTTCACTATGGTCAGGAGACACTGGCTTGGCACAAGGAGCTTCTGCAACCATAAAGAAGTTCCATCATCTCATTATTTTTGGAAGATAAGAGAGCCCTCCAAACCTTGCATTTATCAACAGTAGACTGGAGAAGAGGTATGACTAGTGATAATCTCTTGTAAGTTTATTGTGTATAACCTATTATTTCTGCCTTCTATGCCAATCAATGATGCATTCAAATTCCAAGATGACTACAGAAGTTGCATCCAATCTGCTCCTAAGACATTTTGATAACAAGCAACGTGCAGCCAAATCAGTCGGATATCTTAACTCACGAGGATGCATCAATTTAGATGGTTTAGCTCTTAAAGTACCAAAATTGAAAAAGGAGCCTAAACAGAGAGTACTCAAGGCATGAAATCAAATAGGAAAGCAGCAAAGGTGAATATCAAATCATTGATAGGCTTGCCAAAAACATGTTTCGGTACACTCTAAATTGCATTCAAGACATTGAAGAGTGCAACGGACAAGGTTTGAACACACAATTTTCTGGTCACAACCGTATGGTTGGGTACATGTACATCTGCCGTTCCCTAAGACAATGCCCGAAACGAATTTCACTCAAATTGGGGGAAGTTGCGCAACAAAACAGCTCAGGCCCAAAAACTGGAACGAACAGAAACCCATTGGTAGAAAATGTATATTAGCTCACTTAAGCACGACATGGCTACCTCGCGAGGGTGTGTGTGTGTGTGCAGGAATGGCAAAATTTGCCATAATCACCTTCTTGTTCCTTCCTACTTACACCCCCTGCAAGGCTGCAGTTTCTCCATTCCACATTGATCCTTCCAAGGTTTAACCAAACATCCAATTCTCGCCCAATTCCCAAAACTTTGTCACGCAACTTACAGAGGCCACACGGATATGAAAAGAAATCAAAAGGGTCCACAATACCTTTATGTCTCTTGAAACAGGCCAACGAACAACTGCGCCCAAAGCAAACAATCGAAACAGGAAAACAGCTCAAGGGACGGAACGCGGCAACAGGGCTTTTCGAAATCGGAACTGAAGAATGCGCCGAGAGAGAGCGAGGGCGAAGGGGTGTTTTCCACTTACTAAGGGACGAGACAAGAAGGGCACTTGTACTTCGACTGCGCTTCGTTGCAAACTCGACACTGCCGAGGACCCATGTTTTTTGAGGGGGCACTTTCGAGCTCGACGAAAGCTGGGGAACGCAGGCAGAACACTCGGTAATCAGACCGTGTTATCGAAGAAGAGCGGATCGCGACCGATGAGGGGCGAGTTCGTGGGCTCACCTCGAGACCGTGTTGAAGGAGAGATGTTGATTGGAAGGAGGTAGTGCGTGACAGCAGCTGAACAGAGCAGAGCAGCGTCGAGAGCTGTGATGCTGTGACGATTAAGGGCAAAAAGTTAGGGCGCTCGAAGCAAGCGCTCCTCACTAGCACGGTGCACCACCGAGCGAGGGCAAAGCAGCCCTGTCGCCCCTGCTCACGACGACGGCTGACAGCTCTCCCGTCTAATCGGATTCGGTGAATTCGGGTCCATCACACGGGTGATCCGTGGGACTCTCCCATGTATAAATACCTTCCCTAAAAAAATTTCAAATGAGGGCCTAAATTGTATTCATTTTCTTAAATAACAATCTAAAGTGAACATTATTGTAAATAAAAATCCGAAGTAAATCTTACTTCAAGTAAGGATTTGAAGTGGCCATGATACTCTCTCTTCCTCTCAAGACTCATGGAGTGGACCACTGGCACAAGACCCGTATTCCTTGTTTCCCTCCACACAATTACAGCTAGCCTTGGCTTCTTGCCTACAGCCATAGCCACAAATAACATATCTTTCACCACCCAAGAGACAAAGGATGGATGCCCCGTGGATTCCTAATGACTTAGTTGTTGACTAACTCTTGTCCTAATGGAAAATTGACAGCCTTATTCGAGCTTATTGCCAGCAAAAGGATGGAGACAGCTCGGACAACTCTGCATACTTGTGTTACTTGTTCTTCTAAGCTAATTCATTTTGACCGGCTGATTAAGGACATTTTCATCTTTTATTTTTTATTTCTTTCTTTTTTTTTTCTACTTTTTTCTTTCCATAAAAAAACTCAGAAAAGAAAAAAATGGCTAAAACTTGAAAATAAAATAGAAAGAAACACACATGCCCTTCACTTGTGGTCACCGCCCCATCGTCGGTGGGCGGCAATGCTGGCCGGCAGGGGCGGGGGCGCCTCGGTAAGGGTCAGCGGCCCTTTCGCAGGTCTAGGATAGGGTCATGGCCCTCTCTTGGTTCTGGCGAGGGCTAGCGCCCAGAGCCTCGCTAACCATCGCCGCTGTCTCACTGGCAATGGGTAGCGACCACAACCCGCCTATATTTTTTCTTTTTTAATTTTTAATCTAAAGTAAACTAAAATGCCTTTGACTGGCCAGAATATTTAGCCGATCAGCGAGGTGAGGCCCTTATTTAAAATTGTTATAGCCATTTCATGTCCTTATTTGATAAAATGAGGAAACTCCATGCTTTTATTTGGAATTTTTCCCCCTAATTATAATAAGCCAATCAAAACTCCAACTTTATAGAGAAATTTGATACGACTAACCTTGTCCAATGCCTAGAACTCGACAAGTCTAATCACTTTATTCAAATCTGGGTCCTGCAAATTCGATAAATTCATGATTAATGCATAGGGGAAAATGCCACAAAAAATCTCAAATTATGCCCATTATAGAGAAATTTGATATAGCTAACCTTGTCCAATGCCTAGAACTCGACAAGTCTAATCACTTTATTCAAATCTAGGTCCTACAAATTCGATAAATTCATGATTAGTGGGCATAGTGGAGTTTTTGTGGCTTTTACCCTAATCACACTAGACCGGATCATGAGCTCGATGGCTTACTTTGACTAGCCCGTCCATCTAGGCTTGCTTGAGTTGGCAAGGCCCAAACCACATATTAGGCGGGCTCGACATATATCATCTCCCAATTGGGCTTTGGCCACCCACATAGGCTTGCATGGGCCATTCTAGATTCGATCATCTTCTGAGTAAAATTTAGGGATAAGTCTGTTCTAGGTCACAAAACTCATGAGGTGCGTTTAGTCACAAAACTTGCAAAAGTTCGTTTGAGTCCTAAAACTTGTCAAAATGGTTCGTTTGAGTCCAAAGTTAACAGTTAGATTTCTTTGAAATGCGATGTGGCGGACGTGTCATTTTTAATTATTTTCTGAGACACGTAGCGCCACGTCGGCAAAAAAAAAAAAATAAAAATAGAAAAAACTGAAAAAAAAAAAAAAAAAAAAAAAAAAAAAAAGGAAAAAAAAAAAAAAAGTGGGCATAACGGAGTTTTTGCTGGGCCTTCCCAGCCTTAGCGACCCTCGCCGGCCGGCAGAAGGTCAGCCAGGGCCAGAAGAAAAGACGAGGGAGACCCTCGATGGCTTACTTTGACTAGCCCGTCCATCTAGGCTTGCTTGAGTTGGCAAGGCCCAAACCACATATTAGGCGGGCTCGACATATATCATCTCCCAATTGGGCTTTGGCCACCCACATAGGCTTGCATGGGCCATTCTAGATTCGATCATCTTCTGAGTAAAATTTAATACATCAACGAGCAGGGTGCGTCGAAGGGCATTACAGCTGAGATTTAGGCTCGAGCCTAGGCCCGTCCATTGACCAGGCTTTACCACACACCCCGTAAGTTCTTTATTGTTGGAGCTCAAACCCTTCCAGCGAATCGAAACTCGATCACGATCTATTATGGTCCAATACGGATAGCAGTCCAGTTTTTTTTTTTTTTTTGGTCAGAAGCAGTCCAATTAACATGGGTTGATAATCATGTTTTGAAAAGACAACATGAGCTGCCGACCTGATCTTGGGGCCAAATTCACTTGGACTCCAAGAGTATGGATTTTGTGATTGAATTGTCCCGAGCGGGGATTAGATAGAACTGAGTTATATAGTGCATTAGGATCTAGCCTTTTGCTTTTCTCCTTGGTTCTTTTTCTCTATTGTCATTAGAATCGAGAGAATAAAGGAGCAAAGGTGAGATTCTGTGGGCTTGGATCAATGCTGAATGCACCACTTTCATTTCCTTCCTATTTTTTCTTCTCCCCTTTTCAAATAACGCTAAAAATAATTGACCCGCACAAATTTACATAGTAAGCAACTTATCAAATTGAATTTTTAGCATTAGAAAAAGCGAGTCATATTAAGCACTTAAAAGAGTTCACCAATTCTGTCTCATCATTCGATATATCGATTCGTAAGTTTAACTTTCGTGTTCTCTTTAGAAAATTAGAGGAAGAAAGTAGTGATGACACTCGAAACAACCATTAGATTCTAATTCGGATATGCTTACGATTTCAAACGACAGAAACACGTGGAAACAACTGAACTAGCGGACACCAGAACGACGGGCACGACCAGAGAGACAAGAAGGAACAACTGAAAAGCACGAGCACGTAGAGACGCCACTCACTCACAAAACACACTACTAGCATTCAACAGAACAAACGGACTCATAAAACCGAAGCTTGAATCCAATCAAGGTAGAGGAAGACCGCCGGATCCTCCACCAGCTCCGCCCCCAATGCCAGCTCCGCTGCCCGGCCCGCTCATCCCTCCGATCCCTCCTATGCCGCCGAACCCCGGGATCCCGCCGCCGGAGCTGCCGAACCCCGGGATACTGCCGCCTGAGCCGCCGAACCCCGGGATACCGCCGCCTGAGCCGCCGAACCCTGGGATACTGCTGCCGAAGCCTCCGTAGGTCATGAAGTTCTTCTGGTCGTCAAGCCCGCCACCTCCGCCGCCGCTCGGCAAGTTCCTGGCAGCAGCCGCCGCGGCCAGGGCAAGGGCAACGACAAGTAGCACCGCGCACAACGTCCTCGCCATTGTCTCTCTTATCTGTAAAGGAGTTGGGAGTTTACTACTGGTGTGGGAGAGGAGGGAGTGAGGTTGGGGGCATATTATAGAGGGGGGAGAGGAGGAGCAGAAAAAGTTTTGGAGCACAGTTGGTTGGAGGGAAGTAAATATGGGGGGGGTTGAGGTAAATGCGAGCGTCCTCCAACTCATTGAATTGCGGAGCATTTGAATGGCGAACCTTGAAAGAAACAACCCCACCACCACCACCGCCTCTCCTCAAAAGGGGGCTCTCTTCCTCGTTTGCTTTCTGGCGACACGCCCCCGAGCAGTTGCCAAACAGAGCAACGAGTTTTCACAGAGGGAGAGAGAGAGAGAGGGAGAGAGAGGGAGATGAGGTTACTCAGGTTAGGGTGGCAGAGGGTTGCAGCAGGGCAGCGCAACAGAAGGCGCGTGCTCCTCCATTGAAATGCTTTTGACCGTGGTTGGTCGACCCGCTTTGAAGATCGAATTTATATTCCCATCGTCCACTACAGCTCACACGGCGGACATAGGGTGATTCTATTCTATTAACCTGAGGACAAGACTTCCCCCTTTGGACAAGGTTGGGACTATAAACGATTATTGATTGATCCGATCTATTGTAGACCGGATTCAGACAAGTATATTTCTTTTTAACAAAATAGTATTGATAAACAAAGGTTTGTGCGACAGCCTCGGGTTTTGACAACCATACTAGTTCTTCACAATGAGCTTTTACTGATCGCTACCGAACAATAAATCAATATGTAGTTTTAATAGTAGTTCAGATACTTATAAAATTGTTCTTTCTAGAGTTAGATTAAAAACTCTTTGATTTATCGTATTTAGACTACGTTTGGTTCATTTTTCCCAAAGGGCTTTGAGTCTCCAAAGTCCATTGGGAAAAATATGAAATGTTTGGTTTAGTTTTTGGTTCAGCATTTGGCCAAATGCTGCCATTGGCCGCTTGTCTTGTGCTTTCAGCATTTTCGGAATGCTGAAACCATCACTTAATGAATTTTAGCCTGTTGCCTTTTTTGCCCTAAAAAATTATTGACAATCCATTTTTGCCCATTTTAAAAAAATGAAACCCTACTTCTCCCAATTGCTCCTCGCTCCCTCTCGCAGCTGCTCCGCTCGACTGCTCTCTCTCCCTCACGGCTGCTCCTGTCTCTCTCCTTCGCTTAACTGCACTCCTTAACTCTCTCTCTCCCTTGCGACTCCTCTGGTTCAATCTCTCCTCTCTCCCTTTCTTTCTCCGTGAAAGACTCTGGACTCTTTCTCCAGGTCCAATTTGTGAATTTGCTCGAAATAATTTGTTATTTGTTGCTAGATGTCTACATCTTGTTGGACTAGTACGTTGAAACTTGGGAAAGCTGAACCAAATGCAGTCTAAAGTTCAATTTTCCAAGCCAGATCGAAGATTTCGACATCGTTTTTCCCCTTCACTGATCTATTGAGTTGAAGATTAGTACCATCAGTGTGGTCTTCTGGCACATCTGCTCAAAAATAACGGATACGATCTAAATGAACAACCTAGTAACAACAGTTGAATGTTTACAAACATGCTGCTCTAGCAGAAATACAAATACACGGAGAATCAACTACTTGATTAGGCCCTCGAGACATCTGGTTCACGATTTGGAAAGGTCGAAGTCAACTCAAACTTCTGCTCCCACCACATTAGTTCAGAAAAAACATAGGGTTGAAATTGATCTCCCCAGCAGTCAGTCTGTGATCATTGTTCAAATGGATGGCGATATCTCCATGCCTTTCCTTAGCTGAAGATTCGATTTGGTTTTACATGATTGCATCGACAACTTCTAAGAAAATCTCCGCCGACTATGGATCATGCTAATACTGGTTTGTTGCTGATGCTCATGTGTTCGTCAACCTCATAGGTGAGTGATACAGGTATCTGCCCCAAAAGCCGAGGACCCTGAAACTTAGCTCAAATGGAGGATGATTGTTCATGCCCATGCTCGCTTTATAAAGCCATGTCCTGCAGTTGAAAAAGGTAGTATCAGAAGATCTTTGTGATTGAAGTTAAAGACAGAGTAGGCATGTCATGCTGCGACCATGCTTTCTTATTGGCATTATGTCAAGAAGTTGCAAGTTAACCTTGCCAAACATTTGTCTATCAGCAAACAAATTCACAATTAAAGTCTTCCCTTCTACATCATGCGTTGCATGTATTCGAGGTGGTGGCAAAGATTTCTATCCAATAATTTATTAGAATTAGCCAACTAGAACTAAGTGAAGATGATTTTACCACATATAACTTATAGATTTGATCGACATAAAGTAGATAAGAACACTGTAAACTTGGGGGGAGTCTATACCAGTGAGATAAAAGTAGTGCGTGAAACATCAGGATATCCTTTGACAGAGGGCAATTCTGAGTTCCGATAAAAGTCAAATTCTCCTTCTGTTGTCTGTGCGAGCTTTCTTCATTGCAGGTCCTGATTGCGGATGCTCACCACTTGATTCAATCTAAAACACGCATTGGAAGGAATAATCAGAATCGAACGTTGTTTTACACCAAGCCTGTAAGACCAAGCGTTTCACCTTATTGAGCTTGTCTCTGACCAACCGCACCGTCTGATTCATCGAATGGGATTGAAAATAATCCTGAGATCCATTGTAATCAAAGAACATTGTGGCTTAGCCCCAGGAAATAATGACAATCTGTGATTATCAGTATGCATTTGGATGCTGGAGCTTGATTTTATAAAATATCAAGCTATATGCATCGAACATTAAATGCAAGATGAAGGCAAGCACCTAACTTCTCCTGAAGCAAATGTTAAGGAACGATAAGAATCGCCCTCTCATTTAACTCGTTCTAACGTAAAGGAATAGAGGAACTTTTGCATCAAATATGTAAACATTAGAAACTATACTAACAGAACTTAAATGAAAAGAACAACCCAAATATTAATTAGGTCGAGCACGAGCATTCTACTTGGTATATTTCTTCTAAAGAGTGATTTCTTGATCAAATTATGCTACTGTCTTCTAAATTGACGTGCATATCTGACATCATGTAATGCTAGCACACAAACAATATGTGGTACTTAACATCGGAAAAGATATATTTCCAATTATGCATGGAGCAAAATTTGTCTCAAAATAACCCAGTTTAAGCTAATATGACAAAACATGAACAAAGCAAGTTCAGTGATCATCTTAACTGTCGTATAACAGGTACAATCCAAGTAGTTCCATATGTCACTTTACACCTCTATTCCATCAATTGCAGAAAGTGGAACTAAATTGGAGCAAACATATTGATATTTAGCAGTGTGATAGAGTAACATACCAGCTCCGAGGAAACCCTTGTATATGGAGAACTGTCAGCATGAGGAATGAGCTGCGATGCACTGGCACCACAAAGGAAAGTAAGGTTGACTGCTAATATCATGCATGCTGAAAGCATTTGAAGAACAGCATTTCAAGGCTTCGTTAACATACCTATTAGGATTGAAGATCTGTTGGCCAACAGCACTATTCTGTGTGGAACTTGCATTAGCTGAAGACCTCACCAGACCGACACTGCTAGAGGTGGCAGTACCCTTGAATCTTCCAGCTGTATGAGCAGACACGACTCGTATAAAATGACCCTAAATTTATTATCATATGAAAACCTATGCCTAGATCAACATCAGAATTTTGCTCCCAATCATAAAAGCTTACGGTTCGACCGAGCGAGAACTTCCTTTCTCCTAGCTTCTAGCTTCTCTCTTGTATCAGAGAGGCTCTCAAAATGGGGAGCGTACGAAACTTGCAGTCTATTCCCATAGAAGACATACTCATCCAATTTTCTTTTTGCAAACCTATCGAGGAAAGTGGAACAAAGGTGTCAAATTTAAGGATACTAGAGCCGTTCTACATCCCGGATAAATAAACTTCACAATACATGTCGAGACAGCTGTAACTCCGCACTCAAAGAAGCAAATCCAATCACCTAGCATTGCAGTCGAGACGAAACTTGATCCAATAAACATCAGTGTAAGGCTCGCAGTCTTCTTCATCCATTGGTTTACATCTGAAGAAGCAACCAAAGATCAAACCCAGAGAATTTCGCTGTGAATATCGATGAAAACTCCAAATTAGAGAATATTAAACTGTTCATGACTACTCAAACTCCTATCCGCTAAAAAATGCTTTAAAAAATTCTGGGACACAGGGAAAAAGTGCTAACTCTTCAACGTCGCCATAAGCGGCGAAGAGCTTCAGCAGCTCGTCGCCACATCCTAACGCAGGAACATTCCTCACGATAAGGTATCTGTCGAAACACGTAGGAGACAAAGAAGAACCAAATCAAACAGGCCCCTAACAAAAAAGCAAGCAATAAGAAGCCGAATTATCCCGAAAAATCTATTGAGAAGCATCTAATTCGTCTATTGCAATGGCCAATCAAGTCAAGAAAAACAAAAAAAAAAAAAGAAGATTTGAGGTATCGACACGAACCTCGATTCATCACAGACAGTGTACACGCGAACTGCGGGAGGCTCGTCTTTGTACCGAGGCATGCGTCGTTGCTCCCTCGGGATCGGAAGTCGAGCAATCCCTTTCGCCGGGAACTTGCGTGGGCTGCCGGAATCCGGTGACCAGCACCGTCGGAGGAAGTCGTCGACGGCGATGGGAGCTTCCGTCGAATGAAGTGGCGTAACGTTTCACGCGGTTCTGACTCGATCTGAGCTCTCAGGTACGGCGCACCGTTTTCCGACCAAAGAAATGGAAAAGTGAAGGCGCTGTTCGGGCCTTGAGTTGGGTTGGGCTGGTTTTGGCCCGCGTGAAACCCGGTCCACATGTGATCCGGCACATGCAAATGTACACTTAGGATTTTCAAAGCATAAAAATAAAATATATATGTATGTATCGGTCCAGTTTGAGTGGGCGGTTCCACACCTGGAATGAAAATCGGACCGGTACTCACCGGTCCCATTTATTGGAATCGGGAACCGGATGAGTTTTCAGTTCTTTTGCACACCCCCATGGCAGATACACAAATTCAATCAAATTTAAAACCCTCGACTTTGACGAGGTGCGATGGCCATACATGCAAACTATAGCAACATTTGGCTTTCTTCTAATGCCAACCGTTTGGGGAAAAACTGGCACAAATCAAGGAAGCACATTTATGAGGCCACATTAGGGATCCATATTAGTCGATTCCCAGCTTCCTTATCATGTAAATAATTAAAAGATCTTGACATCTTTTTAATTATTGTTTTTCTTTGACCGTAGACTTTCCTTTTCTGTCTTATTTCATGGTCAAAGTAACACATCTTTGGACTTCACTTGATCCCGACTTCACCACGAAAGTAATTTTGAGATTCGGTTTTGAACTTAGAATGTATCGAGCTTATACACAATTTAATTTAGGTCAAGTTCGTTTAATGGGCTTAAACTCGAGACATATTTTAACGGTCGGTATGATAATCCCTAATGAAGCCCCGTTAGAAATCCCAATCAAATTGATTTCCAACGCTAATGCAATGTTGTTGTGTATATAACCGTGGCTTTGAGAACTTCATTTGCTTTCAGTCAGGCCAAAAGAAACAGGAGACAAAGAAGGGCTGGTTTCTTGAAAGAAGAAGGGTATGAACAAAGCAGGTCCTTCCATTCAAGTGTTGATTGGAGTGGTGTGCATTTCGTTTCTCTTCATGTCAGGTAACAAATATCTCCATCTTCAGTAAAAATAAGGATTAGAGGTCCAATTGAGCAATGTTTTTATAGAAATCTGGGGTCTAATGTTAATGCACCTGACAGTTCAAACTTGTTTTATCAAGGGTGTCCTACTAGATACCAGCAAGAAGTGTCTAGTGATGATCGGACCAGGCTTCGCCACTTTTAGAGGGACAAAAATTCAACGGCATGATTAATAATCAGTTTTTCTTTCCATTGGATATTTATAAGAAAAATCACGATGAGTTTCATGTTGATTATGCGGGCAGCATGGTAGGGCGGTTGCCACCATTGTAAGGGTGCTTAGGGCCGTAGTCGAACTACCCGGACGGCAACAAAGCATGCAAACAAGCCGGTCATAGAAGTGTCTTGTTGCTGCTCTGGATGATCATAAATCCTCTGTACATCGTCAAAGTGTGTCTGCACTCTCTTTTAATGGTGACTGGCAAATAAAAATTAACCAACAGAATTTGATGTCCGCACTCGACCCCTTGTTAATTATCATGCTTGACCCGGAGAAACAAATATGAGAAAATACACAATTGAATGCATGTTAATTTGAGTTTTTCTAAGACAATCAGCACCGCGATCGAAACTATGAATCACTGAGTTCTTCGAGAACTTGCGCGAAAACCCAGCAGACACAAAACCTTGCCCAACATTGAGATAGGTTGAACTACCATTTGACTCTCTCTATTCGGGTTACTAGGTTAAGCGCAGAAACTTCAAATTGCACTGCCAAACCAGTGCACCTCCTAGTGAACATACTCTGAAAGTTTGACAAAATGGTACTGTAGGCCGACTGACAAGTGCTGTTAAAACTTGGAAAGTCGCACAGTCAAGCAGTACAAATTATAGCCATAGTCGCAACAAACATCACCTGCAATGTAATCTTAGCAAGATGTATTAGGACATGGAATCATGGAATGACAAGGGGAAAAGAAAAAAACGAAGAGGATCTGGGAACTTCACTCTTATTGCTTCTCATATGAAAAAGAAGGCCACAAATATATGAGGCGCCTCAATAGCTGCATGTTCTTTTAAATGTCATTATCTCACGATGGAAAAAGATAAGTTATTAGCACCAACATAAGGAGAGATAATTCATGATCATCCAACACCAATCCTACTCTTCCATACTGATGATGCACCTCAAGCTCTCTCCCTTCACCATCCAATCGAAGGCCTTATTGATTTCGGAGAAAGGCACTCGATGAGTAATAAACTTATCCAACTCCAGTTTCTGCAGGAAAAGAGGTCAGAACTTTTGGTTGATAATCTGTTGCCTGTTCTCAATGAGTCAATGACAGAAGATAAAAGAGGAAGAAGTCAGAAAACTCGGACACTTGTCTTTTACCTTGTTCATGTACATATCAACGACAGAAGGAAGATCACTCCGAGGTTTATAGTTCCCAAAAAATGTCCCCTTGAGCGTTCTTTCATTGAGAACATTGATGGGCTTTGTCATGAAAACCGCATCTTTGTTAGGGACTCCAACCAACACAGCCACACCCCATCCCTGAATTTGCAACAGCCAGAAAAGCAACAATTAGTAGAAAAAGGAAGCCAGTTGGTTAGCATCAGAGGGAGTGGTGCCAATTCGTGTTCGCGGATCGTGACGGTGTCGTGAAACCGAGATGACTAGTTAATCGTATTTACCTACTTGACATGAACATGATCCTAAAATTAACAGGTTGACATGACATGACCTGTGTAATTACGACTAAAAATCGGCTTGACGAGTCAACATGATTGCACGACCTCCTATGACACGAAATTAACCCATCGACACAAATCAACTCACCAACACGAACCTAACATGAAATATCTTCAATATTCAATAAAATCTATCTACCAATTGCAATAATCTGTTAACAAAATATCATCAAATCATATTAAAACACACTGTCATAGTCAATGAAATGTCATCAATTTCAAAGCTATTAGCGAATAGCATGGAAATTGTGTCTTTTAGCTAATCGTGTCTAAATGGATCGTGTATAAGTTTTGTCAACACTGATTCGTTAATATCTGGTGGGTTAGACATCAATACGACACAATTATTAATTGCGTGTTACCGGTCGACACGAAATTGATCCGAACACGATAAACCCCAACCTGAACCTGCTAATTTTGTGTCGTGTTCGAGCGGCGTTATTGTGTCCTGTAAGTAATTGCCACCCCAAACAGAGAGAGGCTCAACTTGAGCATTAAAATGGTGTCACTGCTCATCATTTTTCATGTCAGCAATTTAGACAAAATAAATGACGAGAGAAATGCCTACAAGTAGAAAAATGCCACTGCGGTTGTCAATTACTTACATCATGAACACATTCAAAAGCTGAAACCATGGCATTGATGTTGCCAGTGCACTCCACACTCCTATCAACACCACCATTAGTCATTTCAGCAATAACCTGCATTCATTGGAAGTCAAGTCACAAATGACTGTATACAGAGTTTCACCAACACCAAAAGGAAGGTATCTACCCTAAAAGAATATTGAAAAACTTGTGAGGAATGAAACACAGAGTTTAAAATAGAGGAACAGGTCAAGAACGCAGAACCTGTTGAACAGGTCTATCATGATCCTTTGGGTTAATGAATTCAGTCACTCCAAACTTCTTGGCTGGAATTAGAAATGAGAAACGAGAATAAGGAATTTCATTCAGCTCTACCTCCTTATATTTTCTATTAGGATCAACAAAGAAAGAAGAAGTGCATTACTACCTTCCTCAAACCTGTTAGGATTCAAATCAACTCCAATAATTCTTGATGCACCTGCAATTCTAGCACCTTCTGCAGCCTGAGAAAATCAGGAAACCAGAAATGTCATAGAACCAGAAAAATTCTTCGGCAGTATTTTCATATCGAAGAGATCGTGACAGCTTACAGCTAGGCCGACAGCTCCCAGTCCAAATATAGCAATAGAGGAACCTTGTTTCGGCTTCGCAACGTTCAATGTGGCTCCTAATCCTGAACTTCCACAGACAACAAGTTCAATTACTTGAATGGCAATTTGACTTTAGATATAGAAGTCAACAATCAAAATTCGGTCAGACCAACCGGTGGAGATGCCGCAACTGAGAATACAGACTTTATCCAAAGGTGCAAGAGGGTTAATCTTTGCTAGACAGCCTGCGTGAACAACTGTATATTCACAGAAAGTGGATGTGCCCAGAAAGTGATTTATTGGTGAACCATTTATGGAAAATCTAGATTTCCCATCACTAAGCATAACGCCTCTGTCGGTATTGATTCTTAGGAGATCGCACATGTTGCTTTCCTCAGACTGGCAATGCCTACATTCTCCACACTCCCCTGTGAACACTGGAAGCACATGATCCCCAACTGCAACATCTGTCACCCCTTCTCCAACACTCTCCACCACCCTGCGGAATGAAAATTTAGCAACAGGTCATTTTAGCTCTGCAATCCAAGCCTGAAGCAAATGCTCAGCAGCTGAGTCTTAATTCTAGAAAAATAAAGACTTGACTGGTTAGTACCACATCAGCGATTTACCTATATTTAATAACTCTTTCGTTGATTCTTCTGAGTTTGAATTATTGACATGTCTGTTTTACCATCAGAGCCACAAAGTACGTTTCACTATCTTGGAGGAGGCATTGCAGAAATTTAATGGAAATTAGTAACAGGCAAGATTAAGTGACCCGCTGTTCATGCCATCTGCAGCAAAAGTTCCATCACGTGCTTTAGAATTTCAAGTATGAAAACTGTTTCCATACAAAATGTCGACACTGGAAAATGATTCCACATATGACTCAAAGGAGGACATCCCTATGAGTGAAATTGAAACTTGAGATATGAGAATGTGACAAAGGGAAATTGATATCAAGTTCCAAAAGAAATTCAGACAAGTCACAACACTTGATATTCTTGGCTGTTCTAGAGGCAACCTGTTCTTTAATACAGATATGACAACTGATACGGTACTTCTTGTTGCTTGTCAATGAACAATCATGTCCACTTTTGCCACAATTCAGTCAGATGCGAAACTGAAAAACCTACTTTCCGGAGCTCTAAGCCTTAAATCCTTTTTCTCTTAGACTTTTTATGTCTTCATAATTTTATGAAAGAAGATGAATTGCTCATTCGTAGAGCAGCGAAGGAAAGAAAAAACAAGTAGAAATTGGAATAGTTAAAATTTGATACCAACATGTAAATGTTAGAGGATTAAGAGCATACCCAGCAGCTTCATGGCCAAAAATGCGAGGAAATAATGGCGTCTGACCCTGAAACAAGAACCCAAACACACCAGGCCTTAGAGCTATATACAAGGCCAAGCTCTTAGCATCATCATACCAGAATTTATAACTCGAATCATGCTTTTCTTCCGAGGTTAGGCAGCAGAGAATGCAGGCATGACTGACTTTTAAACATATTGTCCCAAATCCAGTCCCTATTTTGCTTTGGGAAGAAAAACCAGGACTTGAGGAAGGAAATAAAATCATCACTTCCTTTCGTCCGGAGAGAAAGAGTCAACCATTTTGTCCTCAAGACATTCTTTCTGTTTCAACTTTTCCTCTCCTCTTTTTCCTGCACTAGAAATCCTTGATTTGGGAATTCTCAGAAATTCACAAGGCGTATCATTAAGTATGGACGCGTTCCGAGACACCACCGAGGTGATAAGGAGCAATACGTAGAGTCTTTTCTCCTAGACAATTAAAGACAACTGTATGGTAAGTCCCTAAGTGTACTAATCTAGATTGTGTAAATCACATGCACTACCTGTAAATTGACGTTCAGAGAAGCCAAAAAAGAAAGAAAGAAAGAAAGTAAGAAAGAAAGAAACGAAAAAGAGGAAATGGAGGAATGAATTGATGGAGCTATGACCCTACTGAGCAACAGAGTCACTGACCTTGGCTTCCCAGAAGTAAAGATCGGTGTGGCAGAGCGAGGTGTACTTGACCTTCATCCTCACTTCCATGGCCTGCGGCGGAGCCACCTCCACCTGCTGTATCACCAGCGGCTTCCCTGCTTCCCACGCCACCGCCGCTACAACAACCAAACATCAAAATCAAAATAATCTCACAAATCACGACGCGGCGTCGAAAAATAAAAAGGGCGCGAGACCACGCTTTGCTCTGGCAATATATCATCACGCAAATGCACCTAGAAGGCTAGAACGAACAAAGCCAAAACCCAAACCGAACAGAACCCACGTCAAAACAATCACGCCTGCGACGACGAACGTCATTCGATGAACCGAAGCGGAGAAGTCAGGGAACAGGCGAGCGAGGTTCCGAAACTATACACACCTTTGCAGGGAATCACCAGTCCGGCGGTGCTCGACATGGCCGAATCAGCTTTCGTTATTGCCCTTCGGTTCAGCGAGAGGAATATGCGACTTACAGAAGGACCTACGGGAACGACGCCTTCTTGAACAGCTTCGAGTCGAGTTGAGACGAGAATGTATCTCTCTCTCTCTCTCTCTCTCTCTCTCTCTCTCTCTATCGAACTGAAAAGAAAACCAGAGCGAGGTTCGAGAATCAGTGGACGGTCATGGTTAACGGTCATGGCCCGTCCAATGTCGGGGATGGCCAGTGGTTTCGTGAGGGGCCCCTTGGTTGACCAATCAACGGTCGGCCGCCTCTTCTCCGTACGTTCACAGCGTCGTCGTAGCTCCTCGCTCTTATTGCATAGCATCATGCGCAAACAATGCCCGAACATCCCTCCATTCGTATACGATTTTCGTTGCGGACAAGTGGTTTTGATTTGGAAGATGACGTATCTCTCCTCGTACATATATCCTCGCATCATGTATTTAAAGTAATCTAGAGAGTCATGTCAAGGCCCATCGTCAGAGACTAGAACCTCACCCGATGCCACGTGACTCGGGGCAATCTGTGCGCGATCGTGAAAATTTATCTGAACCGAGATGTTCGAATATTCCCTAGTGTCCTAAGAGGTAAATTTATTGGTATTTGAATATCATTTATAGGATCAAACCATTTATTGTATATTGATTATGTTAATTAGTAGTACAATTTGTATGATTCGTTCGACGACATTGACAATTGAGATGGCTACTCGAAAGAAATCGCACGAAATGACAAGGTGACGCTTGCCTGATTAGCTTGCTACCTATGACGTTCATTCAGTTGTATATGAAGAAGGAAAGTAAGATTCATTTACAACGTTTGTATATGAAAGTGATGCAGTTGACTATAATTGAGATTTAAACGAGTCGACTCTATTCAAAGAGCCCAAAAGAAGATGGCCCATCATTTACCGTATCAACTTTGAAAAACAACGGTGCTGTAAATTCAGCATTATGCAGTACACCAGGAAAGGTAAATGACTAGAACAGAGGACGAGGAGCAAATCGGTAGGTAGATCCATACCTCTGCACGGAAGCACACAACCAGCGGTCATCGGCCTGACGAGCTCACCGGTTTCACGTCCAGGTGAAGGGGCTCGACAGGTGAGGCTGCGGATTCCTCTTAGAGAGGCGAGAGCGAGGCACGACCTCCAGCAATTTCGACGCATGGCTCTCTCGCGCGATTCTTTCTTGTTCTGCTCCACAACATCAAGTTTTGATGCTTTATGGTGAAATTTGATTCTTCAGCTTGCTTTAGTACGCGACCAGCGAGGTTTCTTGCCAAGTTCACCTTCTTGTTGTTTTTGAAGATTCGCACACAGGGTCCACAGACTAGAAACTGTAGCAAAAGATTAAAATGCTCAGGGCTTGTTACATGATTGCATTGTTGATTCTTAAGTGTTCGTACGTGCAAAAACTAAGTTGTTCGACAAATCTTAAAGCGCAGATGAGTAATCCGAATATTGACGAATGATCCAAGTCCAATGAATTCACGTTGTGTCCTTAAGATAATTTGTCCCCTTCACCGGTACCCATGATTCTTGAACAATTGTCTCCCATGATAGAACGAATCGCTTTTCTTATGAAGCGGTACTTCTTCAAAGGAAACCTTTGAACGCAACTTTGCAGATTAATCGCACGAAAATGACACTGATGAAGAATAAGAGAGCAGTAGAAAAATGCCGCGCAAAAAACACAAATGTTTTTTGTTTTATTTAAAAACAATGAAGAGTCACGAAGAACTAAAAAGTTTCGTTCGGTTCACGAACAGACATATCTGTCCAAAAAAAAATTCCAAAACAAAAGCATATCTGTTCGATGAAAAACAAAACTGTCTGAACCAACATGTCTATTCAGTGAAAAACAAAACTGTCTAAATCACACTACTCATTCACCTTCTATGGGATTTGGTTACCAAAATCCCAACATGCATTGCCTTTGGGCTCAGTCCATCACTGCTTATGCGTTAGGCACACTTCATATTCGGGAAAAGTATCAAAAAAGTCAATCTTTTGCATTGATGTCAATTTAATCATAAACTTTTTTTTGTGCCAATTTAGTTCTAGACTTTTTGTCTTTGAGCTAATTCTGTCCTTTCGGCTAATTTTGGCCGGATTTTGGTGATGTGGATGCCAGTCGGCCTACGTGGCGCCGTCGGCGCTAACGTGGACAATTTTTAATAATATTTTAATATTTTTCCGATTTTTTAATTATTTTTTTTATTTTTTTTCCTTCTTTTCTTTTTCTTTCTTCTTTCTTCAGCCTTTTTCCGGTGACTGGCCACCCCGGCCATGGCGGGGTTGGTTGGCCTCGCTTGGGCGAGGCCGCAGTTGCCCGCCACAGGCCTCGGCAAGAGCGTCCTAGCGAGGGGAACCTTCACCCAGGCAAGGCCTCGCGAGGCCGACCCTCGCCAGGGCTCACCCAGGCCGCGCCGTGCGTTGCCTAGCCGGGCGAGGGTAGCTCGGCCAGCCACTTGCCATGGGAGGAAGAAAGCCAAAAAAGAAAAGAAAAAAATTAGAAAAAATAATTAAAAAATCGAAAAATTATTAAAAAATTATTAAAAATTATCCACGTCAGTGCCGGCCGGCGTCCACGTCACCAAAATCCGGCCAAAATTAGCGGGAATGATTGAATTGGCACAAAGACAAAATATTTAGGACTCAATTGGCACCAATGCAATGTTGGTGTGAGTTGTAGGATAAACTGAATAGGAAGGTTGTAATTTAGGGAGTCCAATATTCTATTCTGTTTATTTCTTGATTTGTAGAAAGTCCAATATTGTGTACAGCTTAGAATAGACTGTCTTTGTGTATATATACATTGTGTATCTGTCATTATATAAAATGAAAAAATCAGAGAGGAAAATTGATTGATTTCCTCAGGAAAATATTCTCTGTTCAACATGGTGTTAGAGCAGTGATCCTAATACTACGTGATCGGAAACCATGGCAAAAGAAACCAGCTTGGTAACCCACCAGGAACGGAGTGAGAGCTCCCTTACAGCAGCTATCCTCGAGGACTTGACGAGCAAGATGCAGCAGATTTTGAACTAGAATCAAATGCAAATTCAGACTCCCGCAGCCCAGATCGCCATTAAGTTGGACGGCACCAACTATGGCCTTTGGTCCCAAGTTGTCGAGATGTAGATCTTAGGCAAAGACAAATTGGGATACATTAATGGGGAACTTCCTCAACCCCAATTGACGGATCCAACATTTAGAAAATGGAAAATCGATGATTCAACAGTGAAGGGATGGTTGATTAATTCCATGGATCCGGTCTTGATAGGTAATTTTATTCGTTTCCCAACTGCAAAGATGGAGTCGGATTCTATTGCTACAACCTTTTTTGATGGAACGGATACTTCTCAAGTTATGATTTGAAGAGACTTGTGACTAGAATGAAACAAGCTGGAGGACCTATTGAAACTTACTACAATGGTCTTCAAGGCTTGTGGAGGGATATTGATTTCCGTCGTCCAAACCCAATGATCTGTCATGTTGATATAGAGAGGTACAATTCAACTATACAGGAGGACAGAGTTTATCTTTTCCTTGATGGGTTGGACAATCGTCTGGATAATGTATGGGCTGATGTGCTCCAGATGCAACCATTCCCCACGATTGAACAAGCCTACGCTCGGGTTCGTAGGGAAGATGTCTGCCAAGCAGTGATGATGTCAGGCACCGATTCAATACATGCTGCTGCCACGTCCAAAGGAGTCAAGACGGAACCTCAACGGATGCCAATGCTTCAGGTGACTAGAACTACTTTTTCTGCAAGAGGTGGAAAGAAGAATATTCCCTCAAGGGTTAGATCACAGTCGAGTAGTGGTTGTACACATTATGGAAATTCGAAACATACCCATGAAATAGGCTTTAAGCTACATGGGTACCCAGATTGGTGGAAGGAACTCAAGGCACAGAAACAAGCTGAAGCCGAAGAGAGTAGCGGAAAAGAGAAAGCTTCCTTGGCAAACGCAGAACCTCACTTATGTTTGGTTTCCCAAGTAAAATCTCCCAGTGATTCAACTACTCTCGATAATGAAGGTAATCATGGTTTTGCATTACTTAGCTCTAATCAAGATGAATGTAGTGGCTGGATTATTTATTTAGGGGTAACTGATCACATGACCTTCAATCCGAACGACTTTGTCAAAGTTTCACAACCAAGACGACGTAGTGTTGCTAATGCAAATGGACGAACTTATCCTGTGACAGGAGTCGGGACCGTTGCTCTTTCAACCTCACTCTCTATATCTAATACTTTGCTAGTTCCATCCTTATCAAATAAATTGATGTTTGTAGGCCAAGCTACCGAGGAGCTTAATTGTGTTACCCTAATTTTTGCCTCTTTTAGGATATTCTCACAAAGGAGATCATTGGGCGTGGTAGTAAGAGAGGGGGGTTGTACTACATAGATGATTTCAATCTTGGTCATGTGAACCATATTCGACACTCATCTAGTAGCAAGGAAAGACAGATTTGGCTATGGCATCATCACTTGGGACACCCGTCATTTAGTTATATGAAGCATTTATTTCCTGAATTATTTTCTGGTATATCAGATTCAGTTTTTCAATGTGAGACTTGCATTTTGGCTAAAAGTCATAGTGTTCCTTTTCCGATATGCTTAAATAAAAGTGAAGTTCCTTTTGCGTTGATCTATTCAGATGTTTGGGGGCCTTCCCCAAGTACTGTTGTCTCCGGAATTCGTTGAGACTTCATGTACACATACACCATAGCAAAATGGGGTAGCTGAACGGAAGAATAGACATATTTTGGAAACTACTTGTGCGCTATTGATTGGTAGTCATGTGCCGAGTAAATACTGGGATAGTGCTATGGTCATAGCAGTTTACTTTTTGAATCGGATGCCTTCAAAAGTGTTGAATTTTCAAACTCCATTACAGGCTTTTTCACGATATGTTTCTCTACCCTCGATTTTGGTAATTCCCCCTCAAATATTTGGACGTGTTGCCTTTGTACATCTCCATAAAAATCAACATACTAAGCTTGATCCCTACGCAGTTCGTTGTATTTTTCTGGGGTATGGAACACACCAAAAGGGGTATCGATGTTACAATCCTGCTACCAAACGTACGTATGTTACCATGGATGTGATGTTCATAGAATCAGACAGTTTTTATCCAGCACCCAATTCTTCCTTTCAGGGGGAGAAGCAAGTTGAAAGGCAAAATTGGTGGGATTGTGAGAGCAACATCTTAGTGCAAACTGATGGTGGGAATGGTGGTGGAGATACCACAATGGGGGCTGAGCAGGGGCAAGCCGTACAGCTTGAGCAGGCTGGGCAGGAAGTGACGAAAG